TGTGTCACATTGTGGCAGCCAGCCACTATTCTGATTTAGTTGCATTGTGTTTTAGTGTAATGGTTGTTGCGGCTTATATAGCAATGGAAATCATGAGTGCTTCAAACACATTGAGTGGGACTTGGGTATTATGGGGTACCTAACTCCAACATTAAGAAGTATGGGAGCTTGCTGGAGTATTTAAGTGCTTGGTTTTCCCCCCTTAACAACTAGCTTTTAACGGAAGGTTTCCCAAGTGCTTGATTCTTATCAATTTGTACAGAGCTTATTGTTGGTGTCTTGAAGAAGGCTATCTAAAGTGCTGTAAAGTGCCAACCGCTAGGGCATCTACTATCAAGGGCAGTGCTATGATAAGGGGCTTGGGAATTATGGGATCTCGCATTGACTAATATGGTATGCTTGATGGAATATTTAAGTCTTTGGTTCTCCCCCCTTAGCTAGCTTCCCCAAGTGCTTTATCAATTGTCAGCTCTTCTATTTATTATTTAACAGCTATCTACAGTGTATTAGGTACCCCATAATACCCAAGTATATCACACACCTGGGCTGCTATCCTGAAATCATTCAAACATTCATGCCCCAAATTTTAAAGTTGCAGTCTTGCCGAGGCACATTCAGGAGTATTTTGGGGTTTTATAATCAAAATAAAAGGGTTTCAAGTTTTTGGGATAAAACTCTTGCCTCTTCTCACCTACATGTGCTATCTTCGATCCAACTCTGTTACTGTACAATCCATCAACCAATTGCTCTCAATCTATTTTCTGGCCATGACCTGGTTTTGCTGTTATTTACTTGTATTTTTTGCTTAACACCTGTGATTTTTTATTTTTAATTATGAATATCATGAATCGAGTATTTTAAAAAAATTTGAGCACTTTATATGTAGTATAAGTTATGTAATAAGTAAAACATTTCAGATTAGCGACTAAACTGCTATGCACTATCCTGCAACGTTTGCTTATTTGCCAACCACCACTATCTAAGATTGATGACTGTAAAATCAAATCAAATCAATCACATGCTAGCATCATTATTATGGTTAGGTATCGTGTGGCAGACCTAGGCCGCTACCATTTTCAATTTGCAATGCATTTTTAATGCCATAGCTATAGCAGTCGCTATAGTGCCAGAAATCATACAATATCACAACAATTGCAGGCATGACAGAACCCTAAACCATAAGGGTAGGAAATTCCTTTTACCCTCCTCAATACTGTGTATTTTTAGTTTTATTGGAGGACAATTTTCAGATTTGCATCATGTTCTAATGTCGTGGGCTTCCAGCTGCTATAGTGCCAGAAATTGAACAATTTCAAAGCAATTGCAGGCATGACTAGGTCACATAATACCGTGTACCAAATACTCCCTATGTAAGGGTTGGAAAGTTTTACCCACATAATACCGTGTACTTTTGGGTTTTATTGGAGTGAAATTTCAGGATCCCCCTTTTTTCATTCTGCAACAACATAAACCCTATTCTGACTAGGTCACAGGTGCACCAATGTCATTCAAAGATGAACCACTATTCTCTGGGACCATCTCCATTCATTTCTGCTGTTTTCCAGTGCCATAGGTGTTTCATGATTTCATCTCTAGTTCATGTTTTCCGTTTCCCTCGCATGCATATGGCTTTAACCACGGATATATTTTTATTTTTATTTTTTAGAATTTATATATGTATATGATAGACACCCATTAGTTAGGATAGTTGGTTGAAAAAATAAGGCATGGAACCTATGTATAAGGGGGGAGGTGGAAAGAGATCTCATGTCAAATTTGAGATAGTTGGAGCCTTTGGGCATTGGAAGGTGCAGAGTGCAGACCCTCAAAAATCTGAAACTTAGACACATCTAGTGAATGATAGAGTTGAATAAGGAGTGGATCTGGACTTCCCAAAACATCTAGACCATGTATTGCCTTCTAGGGGGCTTCTTCCCTATTGTTCAGTGAACAAAATTAGATTTTTCTCGATGTCTTTTATATCAGTTCTAACACGGTTATCAGAAAGTTGATCTGGGTATTGTGGGTTCCAATTTTGGCAGGTTCTTGGAGCTTCCTTGATCAGTATCCATGGAGGGTCATCATGGTATCTAACCAAGGGCTTGAAGCCAGAATTGAAGAGATTCAGTGCCAGCATAATGAGGCACAGCACCTAAACAAAATGCAGTTCGAAGCATTGGGGTAGGGAATTGAATCATCAAAGGAAATGATGAAAGGAATGATATGAGAAGTACAGGTGATCCTGAACCTTTAACATGATTGTCAGAGGGAATATAAAGAAGCAGTTTCAGTCACTAGGAGGGCAGCAAAACCCACGAAGATTTCATTTCCACCATCGTATAGAAATGAGTATCAGCAAGAAGAGCCTAGTAGAATGGATTATCTAATTTATCAAGATTGAAGCAAACAGGGTTATTGGTGAATCAAGAACAGGTCCACATTCCAAGTCAATAATCAGAAGTGGATTGGACCAATAGGTTGGGAAAAGAGATCAAAACAGATAGATCAATGAATTTTTATTGGTTTGAGTTTGTTTTCATGAATGAGAACCATTTTCTGAGCTTGTGAGATGAAGAACAAATGTGGCTTCATGCAAGTAAGGAAGTGAGTGAAGAGAGAGAAGATGACCGACCTTGAGGGTGGTGGGGTGGTACAATGGTGAAGCAAAGATGGAGGAGAAAGCAATGGCCCTGGAAGCATGGGTTTTGAGAAATCTGGTCAACCTAGCACTCCCATTGGAACTGCCAGACTCAACTCTGAATGACTGTAGGAAGGATGACAGAGGAAGGGACAACAAAAACTGTGGCAGCACCCAGTAGTAGGGTGCATAGGAAGGAGAAGAAAGAAAGAGCCGAGTTCGAATTGCACAAATGCAGCTCAATTTCTGGCCTAATGCAGGTATACAAAATGCTGGCCCATACTGAATACCATTACCTTCTATGTGTTTTTCAAAAGTGGTCAAAGTTTAAGGAATATATACATCACACTATTAGATATTATAAAAACCAAAAATAATGGATATTGGTAATGTGGCTGTCAGATTTGTCAAGTGAGGCCTCACTTGACAGATTTGACAATTTGTTGCTATTTACCAATATCTAATTTTTTGTTGAATATAATATCCAATAGTGTGATATATATCCTAAAGTGAAGAATTGGAATCTGGGAAAAAGATGATTTCTTAATTCTTATTTAGAATTAATGAGTCCAGCGCCGGCCTAATACAGTAAAATGGAAAAAAAAGTAAGGAAAACAGGAAGCCTCAGCAATTGAATTGTCCTCATGGTCCAGACCTAGCAGAATAAGGTTGATGACCTCCATAACCTTCAACTACAACTGGAAACACTCTGATTCGTTACCAAAAACCCCTCAGAAAACAGAGAATTAGAGAAGAATGGAAACACTCAAATTTTGTTTGACCCAAGAGGATTGAAAGTACATTTTGCACTGCAGTGGTCTGGTTGGCTTGGTCACCGTGCTTCAATCAGTTGGAACACTGGTGGAACTTTATTTCAGCAGCCACAAGCTGTTCACCCTAAGGACAAGGTGAAACTTGAGGAGAGGAGTATCGATAGATACCCATTAGTTAGTTAAATTTGTTACTTAGGATAGATGGTTGAAGAAATATAAATAAGAGAGGAGGTGGAAAGAGAGATCTCATTGGTTGGTGCAGCCCCTCAAACATCTTCAAATTAGGACTTTTGGTGCTGCTTGACAGGAGACCCCCAATTAAGTTCTATGTTACGAGAAATAATAAACTAGGGAATCAAAACCCAGATGTAACAAACTAACAGAATATAGTTGGTGTAGTTAGAAAGGAGAAGTGAGGGGGCATTGATTGGGTATAATTGATGTGGGGGAGAGTCCAGGTTCTCTTGAATAGCATGGGCGCTTAGAGATTTTCAATAAATACAGATTCTTTCTTTCATTCTCTGAACCAATTCGATCACTGGTATTATCTCAGAGCTGTGAGAAGCATGCATTTCTGGAGAAGGAAGGTTGATGGTGTCGACAAGAATGGATTTGAGACTGCAGCTAATGAAGAAAGTAATGGATGGTTGGAATCAGGACAGAGAAATGCAAGCAACCCAATTCAAACTGCAAGATGCTCGACTTAAAACTTTTAAGAGATAACAGAGGGCACAAAATCTTTGGATGGCAGCGGAATGCACAGAGACAAACAATGAACATCTATGACAAGGAGAGTTTGGAATTAAAGGGAGTATACCTACTTGTATAGAGGTTGAGAGGTGGTAGAAGCTAGAGATACCCATCTTCGCAGGGGAAGAAGTGTATGGTGGGGTGAACAAGCTAGAGAAATACTTCCACACAAGGGGATTTCAGAGAAACAAAGGATGTCACGATCCACACTTCTTGAAACATCTTGCAGTGTATTGTTTTCTTGTGTGTGTATGTGTGGGTGGGGTGGTGGGGGGGGGGGGGCCCTATTGTTCAGTCAATAAAATTTGATCTTGCTGTTTTTGATACCTGTTATATCAGTAAAGCATAATTATTTATTTTATATCTCAAATTTTAGCACAGCAATTGTCCCACTACAGCAGTTTCAGAGTCAGTTGCTCTTTGGGATTGATAACTACATTGTGTTCTGAACATAGAAATTTAATTGTAAATTAATCCAAATCTCCTTTTTTATGATGTGTTGCAAACATGAAAATTGATTTCAAAAATCAAATCATTTTCAATTTTTCAAGATTCCAAACATAACCTAAGAGTTAACGTTTGATTTCATTGCAATGGAAAAATGCTAATTACACTAAATATTCTGCACCCATTCTATTTAGTTAATGTGAAATTTACCAAACAAGACACAGTATGTTGAAGAATGTGTTCTCAAGATTCATCCAAAGTATAACCTACTATGTAGATTTCTCGTTACAACTACAAAAACATATTAAAAAGGTTTCCATACGTTTGGGAGTTTATAAAATCATGAAGGTTCTGTACCAAAAACCACATAGAACATATTGATCAGAACTAACCTCCGCATGAAGTTTCTCCATAGGCATCCACTCTCCAGGACCACAGAGATCAGAGAGAACAGTAGCTACAGATGATACTACATCCTTTTCTTCCAGCTGCTGAAGCTGGAGATTGTCAGCATCTCGATCTACTCGGGATCTGCCTTCAGACTTCTTATCTGCGGGAACCAAACCATTACAGAGACATTAAAATTCTGAGACTATTCATGTAAAATATAAGTTGGTTCTAATACAAAAGCATACACAAATGGGATAACATCAATAAAGAAAAATACACAAGTTAGATAAAATGCATGTGGATTTCCTATTTACTAATTTTGGCAGCTTCGGTGTATTTCTGAACGAAATCAGCTTGCTGCTATTTTGTTTTCTTTCCTTTATAGCAGGGAT